GCAACACTTTGCATATCCCATTCAGAAGCTAAACCTTTTTGGACTGTGAAGATAAGAATGGTGCACGAATCTGAAATTACCATTTTCTATCTCAGGGATTTGAAGTTCTAAAGTTGCACATTTCATTTATTAAGCTACCTTTCTATTCTACTCTTCCTGCCCCAATAACTTTACACATTAATCTATCAAAGATTAAAATTACAGACAAAAAATTCCTGGGTGCCACAGCACTTGAAATAGTAGTAATCAAGAGTAGATTTGTCTTAGATCACTGTGGATTGGTCTCCAGTTCTGTTGAGGTGGAAAAGACAACAGAGAAAGTCCTTGGCTTACATGGCCCCCAGAGGTATGGATCCATATTTCTTAAGTCTTTCCATCTGTGAATCAGTTCATAACAGTAGCGGTGTTCTTTCACCTGCAGTCTGTTCTTTCTGAAAGATGTCCTTGATCCGGGACAGCTTACTATGGATCCTCTCTCTCAGGGGAGGAACATGATGACTAGGATCCAGGATGTTGGTTACTCTGCGCTCTCTCTCACGCTTCCATATCCGATACGGATGTGGTGGGAAAGGTGCCTCATGCTTTTCTCGGCGCAACTGAACTGTGATTCCTCCAATTGCTAGCATAGTCCAAACAGCCAAGAGGATAATATCTGTAAGATGAAGCCACACAGCTTAGAGTTACAAAACTTTCACCTCCCCGCTTTTCACGAGTCCAAAGCTCTATTTGTTTAAGCCACTTCACTTTTCATTTACATTTTCTTTTCATTTTGAAATCCAAGACACTTGCATTCTTCCAAGACACTCAACCTTGTTACCCTTGTTCCCTATCACATTAACGCCAGCTAGGAAGTACCCAAAAGAGTACTTCAACTCCATACATGCTTCTATATTTTGTCTGAAGAGGAAAGATGGTTTTCTAGTCTGCCTTCCTTGTCTTCTACTCCAGAGAAAATCCAGAAGCTTGGAGGCAGCCAACTCATTCAGCCTTCCTTGGAACATTCAATACAGGTTGAATTTGCACTGCATCCATCATTGTCCCTCAATTGCACTGGTTTGCCACAGTCTTGAAAATGTTTTTAGAGAAAGAGATGACATGGACTTGCTCCAGATGCTCTCATGGGTAAGCCTAATCCATCAAGCACCCAACTTTCCCTTCACCCATCTCAAAACTTACCGTTAGGTTGAAATGGCACAGTGGTGTAAGCTCTTCTGAAGTTTTCATTTAGAATCCTTTGGAGCAGATCTATGCCAATGTAAGAGAGGCTGGTGTAGATGTAACATGCTGTAGCCAACACTACGGTGTAGGAGCCGACTATGCCACACATCAAGATGTTGAGCTGAGAGAAAGATCAGAACATGAATGGCTTTAAGATTGGTGTCCATTTTTTTTCTTTCTTTTCTACTTTTCTTTTTCTTTTCTTGCAAAATTGAAGGTGCTGGTTATGACCCTTAAAGCCCTACATGGCATGGGACCACGTTATTTGAGGGACCGCCTCTCCCCAATTTCATCTACCTGTCCCACCAGGTCTGGCAGAAGAGGCATTTTATGGGTTCCATCAGCTAGGGCAGTGTTGTCCAAACTTGGCCACTTTAAGATGAGTGGACTTCAACTCCCAGAATTCCCCAGCCTGGCT